CCTCTTTGATGTCACTTTTTGTGACAAAAAGCTTTTGATCATGTTTTTTTTTCAGTTAAGGGTTATTTAAAGAAGAAATCGTGTATTGAGTATGGTAGAGGGTCAGATGGCACGAGTTAAATGCAATGCAAGGCGCGCGCGCGGACCAGTCCGACCAGTTGCTCGCTCCGCCCCGCGCTCCCCTCGCGAACAGCTGACAGCTCCGACAACAAAGAACATCAACCCAACCCACACAAACATAACACGCTACGTACAATCACGATATATTATTATTATTTTCAACCGTACACGCGATTGTATTGATTGAAATTATTTAGCTGCCGTAACAATTATAACATTATGAGTCGGTGATTACAAAAAACAACTCGATGTTAATGTTAATATTACTTTAATAAATCAAGGTTTTTCACTAGGCCTCCACAACGCAATCTAAGGACCTAAATGTGCTATTACTACGACACATCTATATAACAACCAGCTCAACTGCTCAAGTATTGAGTAAACAGTGTTGACCATGAAAATCAGGCCCTCCTATGCGAAAGGTGAATACATAAGACCTAACAAAGGGCAACTTGTACTTGCCTTTCTGTTCATCCAATACACGAAGGCCCCGAGTTGTGGCACTCCGGTGAACAAGAGTCTCTTTTCAAAACAATAATGTCTACTTATTATGCTGATTTATCACGGCATCTTTGTTTAAAACACGACGGTCACTTATGTCGTAGTTTTTCACTGTCCGGTTGCTATGGTGCTGTGAATTATCACGACACTTGACTTGAGAGTTTTTTTCATTCGTTATAGTTGTCGTAAGTACTTTATGTAGTCAATGTTTACGATGTATTACGTTCTATGTGTTATTTACATCACTATTTAGAGGCCTGCGAACGTGATAATCGTTGCACTGCCTGCGCACTTTATTTGCTGCGCTTCTGCGTCAACAAAACAGTCTCTCGGCACTCAATGTCGGGCGAAATCGCCGCTACGTTCGGTCAAGTTCGCCCTCTCATTCGTAAGCCCAGCAAACTCGCGATTTTGTCCCGCTCTCACGTTTGACACTTTGCCGGCAGGGTTGCAGCGTTTTAATTTCACAACATAGGTTTTTCTTTGAATACCATAGTAAATCATTGTTACCAACTCTTTTTCTATTATTAGTTTGCTATTACTAAAGTATTAAATATTAATTATTATTTTTATCAAGTAGTTTTATAAAGAATCTTAAAAAATTTTAGCGCCTGGCATTATTACATAGCACTAAAAGTTGTAGTAGTGTTGTTTATTTTACTCAAGTACATTTTAAAAGAAAATTTCGAATAATGGACTACCTACCATTTCCCCAACTACAGAGGAAAAATAAAACCATAGGTATTTTTATGAATGATTCAGCTTGAGCTTTTTTTCCACTTCTTGGCTTAGAAAATTTAGTCTAAAAATTATAAATCAAATAGGTTCTATTTAGATAGTACAAAATAATTTTAGGCAATATAAATAGTACGTTACTCAATTAATATTCAATTATAATGTCTTACGATAATTATTATACAAACATTGTCTATAACCTCATGTGTCTCACCCCCTATTACATGGGACTCATAACATAAATAGTGAAAAATGGTGTTACATTGTACAGGGGCATAATGTTCACCTCTGCCTACCCCTTCGGGGATAAAAGGCGTGATGTTATGTTATGTCTATAACTTTATTATATGTGCTAATTTAAGGGTCACTGACCAATAGATAGGTTTAACTACTTTTTATACTTTGCTCTATCGGAATTTGAAGTTAGCGTATCAGTGAGGTTCCAACAAAGTTCAAAGCAGCATCATCTACTAACTATTACTACAATAATAAAACACTTGGAAAAAAAGACCAATAGATATTGAGAGCATACTTAAGGCCGAAATTAATAACGAATTACAATTCACATGGATCAATTCAGACATTTAGGATTGATATCAGTTATTGATTCCGGCCGATAAAGAGTTTATTATCAGTATCACAAAAATTACAGATTTATTTTTAAATATCTATGATTGCAGGTGGGCAGTAGTTATGTGTTCTTCTGCCAAAACTTGGCAGCATTGCGAGGAGTCTTGCCTTTGCCAGAATTCTTCTTTGGCGCCGAATGGGTCTCGCTGCCACCGCCAGTAGCTGACTCGTCATTTTCTACTTGGGATTTCAAAGTCTTCTTTATGTACTGAATCTGGAAGAATAAGATAGGTAATTTATGTTACTGAAACTTACGGTTTGTAAAATATTACATCAGTCTTACTAATCCCAAAAGGGGGCAGTATAGATGAACAAATACAATGTACCAATTGTTTTTTACTAGTTATAACTCATGTGACAGCAGAGTGATATTATTTTATTATATCCTGGATAGAACTGTAGACTCTGAGCTATAAATTTTCAAATCACAGATTAGTAATAACACTTTGATTAACCCCCCCACTTAACCCTATAACCGCCAACCCAGAAGGCATCCCTTGCCCTTTTCTTATAAAAGAAAATGTAATTGAATGACAAGGGCATGGAAAAGAGTCAGTGGAGAAAAAGAAATTTAATTAAAAAAAAAACCCAGATGGCAGTCAGCTTCCTGATGTCAAGTCAATTAGTCAATTTTAGCTTTTACATAACATAACATCACACCTTTTATTCCCGAAGAGGTAGATAGAGACATACATTTACGGCAATTAATGCCACTGTACAAAGTAACATCCATTTTTCACTATTTATGCTATGAGTCTCATGTAATAGGGGGTGAACCTATTGCCATATACCAGGCACAATTCCAGACTCTGTGGTACTACTGAGAATTTTTTGAAAACCCAGTAGTACTTTGCCCGACCCAGGAAGACGACTTTAGCTTTTAGTTACAATATTAAGTAAAGGCATTTTTATAACGACACAAACCTCTTGATCAATATTCTGTTGATGTCTAATAGCTCTTTGTTTATGATGGTTGGCTCTCTGTATATGTCTGTCTACAGAATTAAGTACAGCTTCGCAAGCGTTACACCAGTCTGCGAGAACATCGGCAATAGAAGATGCATCCTCAAGGCGAGCATCTCGACCCAATGCAACATCAACTTCTACTCTTTTACATTCCTGATCTAACTTGCCGTGGATGATATCTGGAATATTAAATTTGAAGTTAAAAATTTGAGTTAGCATGTATAACTGGATTTTATTAAAAAATAAACATATTTCATGTGAAACATTCAATAGTTGAGCTATTGTTCAATAAACCTTAACAATTATTTTAAAAATATTTCATCTTTCTTTCCCATTTCAAGAAACATTAATATTCTTATTGGATTAATTGGGACTGAGATCTTGAGAGACAGATAGAGAGCCAGGGTGACCAGACTTTAAACATTATCTACAAGCCAGTAAAAATATAATGAGATTATAATTTAAACTATTCATACTTTTAATATCTTACATCTTTAAATTACTGATGTGATCAAAGACTGCTTGGAGATGGCAGTTAAGACTAAAAGTTTAAATGTTTTTCATCTCTCTATGGCTATTTTAATCACAATTCTAACACCCAAATACTGAAAGCATACTCCATTTTAAGTTGTACTTAAATATTGCTATGCTGTGCCAACATGCCATCTCTGTCATTTTACAAAGAATTTGTATTGACAGAACTATACTTAAGACAGAATGGGTATAAGATATATATATTATTATACATATATATACATGTTACTTACTTTATCTCAAAAGAATTATTTAATAAGAAAAAATTGTCTTACCTGCATAAATAGCTTCTATAATAAGATCCTCCAAATCTCTCACATTTTTTATATCTAATTCCTTGAGTAACACGCTATAGGGGATACATTTTTCCTGTGTGGCCAGCGTAGCTATAGTCAAGTGTTGCAATTTCTTGCATTGAGCTGGAGTCAGTTCTAAATATTCAGACTTATTCTCCAAGTAGTCTTTGTATGTGCCATATGCAAATAGATTTAGAGTCTTCAGATGAGTGGCATATGGTCCAGTTTCCAACTGCAATGATTAATTTGTTATTGTTATACTTCTGACGTGATTAAAAGATATATAATTTCCAAAAGATGCCATGCAGATTAGTTATCATTTTGGATGTTTTGGTCTTATATAATAATTGCACTAAATACATTAAGAAGTATTACAAAAGTTGTTTACCACATTTTTTTATAGAACTACCTGCGGAACTTCTTATTTATAGCATACATATTAATATATATATATTACAAAGATGAAAGTTAAATATAAAAAGTTCAATCGATAAAACACTACATACAGGTAGACAATAAACAATAAGAACGTATATATAACCTCTTTGATGTTCGGCATTTCAAGAAGCTCGCCAAATACGTGGACTCCTGGCGCTTCTAACACTTGTTTGATAAGCTCCGCACATGCCGATCCTTTAGCTCCTTTCGCTAACAACACAAACTGTTCCAAAGGATGGTTAGTTGAAAAAGATAACAACGAAGAAGGTTCATCTCTGTCCATTGACATCGGGTTCATGGCGACTGTTGCAAATTATTTTCGTTTACTCAAATGTTCTAAGTTTCTAAAACCACTTACTAAATAATATACAACGTTTTATTATATCACTCTTTTGTCTAATAGCGAAAATAACGAATTTACAACTAAATGCGAATATCCAATTATGATTTCAACACGACCATGACACAACGAAGGCAAATTTATTTTGACAGTTTATCACGATTCAAGCTTCGCGTTTTGTTCTCCAAAATGAATGTTTAGTCAACTCAGTGAAAGTAACTTCATGAAAGTTTTGGGACTATTTATACCGCTAAACCTTTAAACTATTAAAAAATGACATATAGTTCAGAATGTATTCTATATCATATTTTCCACCTGTTTTTTTTTTTAAAGACCACTTGTTTCTGTTTTGGGAATCTAAACGTAAACCATAGATCTTTGTTTACTTTTTATTTCTTTGTTCCTTCTTTTAAAATGAAAGATATTTAGAACTAGCTATTTTTTATTCAGACATCTTTATTAGCATGGTGATTTCGCGTCTTGCTATAAGCCAAATGTAATTTTTCTAAAGATTTGAATTAAAATAGCAATACCTTTTATCATTAAATTATTAGTTTAATTGTTATCATTGCTACGTGAATGAGTTGGAGTTGAGTTTAAAACCCCTAATGGACCATAAACAATAAAATGGCGTCCGGTTTTTTGTGTGTGCGATAAAATTATTGTTTTCATGAAATCTTAAGATTTATCTCAGTTTCGGCTATGTAGTGATATTTATTAGTATTTAAATAGAGATATGATTAGTCTTAGCGTGTCTAATAAACTAAATCACTCATTGTTTGTGGAAAATAATGTGCGTGTCAGTTCTGCTCATAGCGTCGTTGTCCTATGCCGCCTTTTATATTGAGTTGATTAAACTAATTTACGAAGATTTCTTCGTGTAGACTTGTCTCAGTCAGTCAATAAAAGCATCGTTAACTATGAATTTACATAGATAGTAGGTTTTTGTCGGCATTGTGATCGATGAGTGCGTTGTGCGTTTGTAGTTGTGAAAGCGTACATACATGTTCGTAATGTTAAAACTGTCATGAGGATTCTTGTTTACTATCAAATAGCGAATTTGTGTTAGTGAATTAGTTTTATCAATTGTAATGAATTGTATTTGTTGTTAAAAATGTGTATGCCTACTCCAAACAATGTTTCGGGCTTCGGTTACTCGTGGGGCTTCACAAGTTCCGCGGACCTTTCGAAGGGCGAAGTGGAAACACCGAGTAGTTTGAGCTATACCCTAGGAAATACGGTACGTATTACAATGAAATTAGACCTTATGTCATTAACTCTACAGTGACATTTGCATAGTAATTAACTTTCACAGTTCAGTAGAAATTACGATATATAAAGTTTATGTAGTTTACTTTCTTTGGAATCTATTCGATTTCCTTCCTGTTAAATTTATGATTATCATTATTAATGTTTAATAACTGTTACATCACAAATCACATTTTTACTCAGAAAGAACTAATACAATGTTTATTTACACCAAAAACCATTGTCATTGTAAGATAATAAATTAACAAGTCTGCAACTAAAATACTTCCAAATTAAATGTTTTATGTTGCATTTATAATTTACCACAGTAACTATTATCATTGGTTATGTATGATAAACTTAAATAATGTGGGAATCAAGTTTAGTATAGTTGCATTAAGTAAATAATGAATCATAATTCTCATAATCTTAGTAGGTCAATGAATGTTAAGTTCTAAATGACAATCATATTTATATTAAATAGATAAACTGGCTTTGATTTTACTAGTTTAAAGATAATATTATTAAATTTTAAGTAGGTATCTACTGTTATTGATAAAGTTATAACTTGCATATTAAGTTTGTGGAGTAAAACTTATAATTTTTAGAAAATATGTCGTCCTAGATGAGACAAATAAACCAATTTTTATACTTATATGCTTCTAAATATGGTTCATAATACATAGTTACATTGGTTATGTTGAACTACCATTTTAATTTACACTAGCTACTTCTGCGCGGTTTCACATGCTCTGTCCAGCTCCTATTGGTTGTAGCATGATGTTTTATAGCCTATAGCCATCCTCGATAAATGCGCTATCCAACACTAAAAGAATTATTCAAATCCGACTTGTAGTTACGGAGATTAGTGCATTCAAACAAAGAATCAAAAACCAAACTCTCGCTTTATATAAAAGTATAAGATTAAGGCATGAAACAGAATGAGACATCTACCTATTTCACATTTACCACAACGATTTATAAACCACTAAATATTTCAATAAACAATTTAAATAAAGGGTCAATACTCCAAAACATTGTATTATAGTAAGTACTGACTTTGTATAACTTATAAAGCAGTCAGTAGTTCAAAGCCCTTGAAAGGAGTTTGGAATACCAATTGTAGTACCAATTTGTATGTACCAATATACATATTTCATGTTTGAATTAGGTACTTATGTCAAAAATTGTTCTATGGAATACCTACAGTTATTCATTCTTTTTTGCTCAAAACGGTGACACATAATTTGACTATTATTTTATTACTAGCTACTCACATTTGGTTTATTCAGTCTACTCAGTTGTTATTGGTCATCACATGATGTTTTATAGTCTTTAGCTATCCTAGATAAATGGACATTCTAACTATTTCACACATACATTTATTTTAATTGTACCAAACACCGCTAGGACATCGGTGACCGCAACCTATTGTTCTTTAATTGTGTCTATAATGACGGTACTCAAAGAGTTATGTATAATAGTATAAGGTTTAGCTGCTTAAAACTAAAATTTGTTCTTTCATTCTTTACAGGTGTCTCCAGAAACAACCCTAACTGTTATGTCCCATAAAACACCGCAAGTTCAAGAAAAAGTTGGTGCCGTCACTGTAGCTGTGTCAAATTCAGGGGCTCAGTTGACAAGGGTGGTTACTACAGGTACGCCAGTCACTGGGAGACGTGCAATGTTTGTAGTCAATGATGCCACAACGCACACCATCAACAGAGTCTCGCAACAGAATCAGACTGCAACTATACATAGTGAGTTAATATTTTGTTTCATAAACATGGTATGATGAATTACAAATATTGCTATAAAAGTAACACAGATCTCAGTCACATAGATGGAGTACTTACTAAAACTGATCAGCTAACCAGAAATGGGTAGTCGTATCCTTGACATTTTCAGTGACTTTATTTTTTCATAAGTGAGAGGCTTTATTTCAGCAGTGGATCTTTTCCAGCTGATGTTGAAGTCCTTTGTTTATCATTTTTGAAACTAAGTGCTTGTTTATCACCAACTTGTAAGATAATTTAGAAAAACTCACATTGGTTTAGCTGTGTTCAAAATTCAAATCTTTGGTCACTCAATTTAAAAAATAGTTTAGACTAAAATCATCACAATACTAACTTCCATACCATTTTCAAATACTTATCCTTAACTCTTTCTCCATTGCAGCCAACCTTGCTGCTAAGCCGTTTATGACACCGATAGGACCCATACAGCTAACTGCAGAAGAATGCAACGAAATTCTCATGAAGAGAGCTTTACAAGCACAAGGCATTGCAACTCCTGTGATAGATGCTTCGCAACTTAATCATACTATTCTAAATGGAGGTTTGAAGGGTCTAGCAGAGGCTACGGTACAACAAACTCAAGCGGAAACCATTCAGACAACCACAGTACATCAACATCATTTGTTGCATACCAAACAGGAACCTGGAACTGCTAATAACTCGCCGAAAGTAAGTGACTTTTAATCTTTTTTTTTTTCATAACTAGGATGGATCACAAGCTTGATACTCTAGATTTCGAATGAGAAAACCAGTTTTTTAGTTTTCGAATTTCGATGCTACTATGAGACTTTAACTACTTCGAATTATTAACCAAAGCTTTGGATCATTGGGTGACCAACTGGACCATGAGGCGACCTTAGATGATCAACTACACTATGGGGTAACCAATTGGACTGTTAGGTGACCATTTGGACCACAGGAGAACTACCAAATTTTCCAATTTCTGTAACTTTTTTAACAGTTATCCTGAATCATTTGATCCTTTGTCAAATATCCACCTCTAATGCACAGATAACATAGTAACGTGTAGTTAGACGGTATATTCTCAGGCGGAACTGCTGAACACCAATTCCGTGATGACGACAGCGCCCCCTGCCGCCGTCAAGGAGAGACCCTATGGATGTGACGAGTGCGGGAAGTCATTCCTGTTGAAACATCATCTAACTACACATGCCAGAGTTCATACAGGTATGTAAAACTATAGTTTTTAGATTTTTATGACCTTATCCCCTCTTATAGTTTTCATCATAATTAATGAATTTTCTTAGTATGACATAACTTATTTGTAACTTTGATGTTTCTGTTCTTTTGGTAATGGTATCTTTCTGGTTACAAGTTGGTCTATGGGTATTTAACCACACTTGATTGAGAGCGCCCTGTATAATTTAAAACCTTTTTAGTTTAACCTAGTTTGATTTATAGAGAACAAAGTGGCCTTCAAACTTGGTGATAACCATTTGACAATGATACTAACATTTTATTGATCAACCGGTCTATTTCTGTCTGTTTTCCATTCCTTTTCTATTAATAATCACCCAAAATAAGAGCGTAAAGGATTTTGTTGCAATCAACGCGGGCGTGTAAGAAACATTCAAATATTTAGTATTTTATTTTTAAAATCAATTGACAAGAGGGGTTATTTTTATACAACACATGTACCGTTTAGACATACACACATATATAATATAAATCATAGACTTACACTGTTATAAAAATGCTCTGAACGTGTTGGTATACGTTTTAGCTATACGGTATTATATATATGGTATACGTGCGATTTTAGCCAGTTATTGCAACCGATTTTGCACCTTAATTCAATATGGGTAAGATATGTATTTTTTCCATGACAATGGCATCTTAAGTGAGCTGTAAGAAACACCAAAAATAATTCATAGTTTAAATCCTTTATTGCAATTCATGTGTATAAGTAAAATCATAACAATAGTTAATTCTAATATTTTTAAAATAATCGATAGCATCATTAGGCCCTATTAGGTACCGGTTATAGTACGGCTACAGATTAGGTCATTTTGAAGTCAATAATACGAGTCATAGTAGGGAATGTCAATGTTATTCTAATTACTTAAGTGAAAATCGATTTTATTCGAATTACCACATTCTTATAGAGATGTGACTGACCCTAACTTTCCTAAGTACTGGAAAATCCACAAGAATACTTCTAGATATAGTTCTAAAACAAACTTGTAAATTCGGGTGGATAAATACACAACTATTCACCACTTCGATAGGATTTGTACTACAGATCTATATTTCAAAGAAACTAGAGACACTATCCAACCGCAAACTTAAGTTGGCACAACTATATAATTATTATTAACACTTTGTCATTGAAAAAGTCACCATGAGACGGCTATTTTTCACTTTATTGACATTTGTATTAGCATAATTCTATAAAGTTATTTTTACTGCGTACAATATGTCTAATTAACACTAAACCGTGGCTATTTCTGCTAATTTATTTGATAAGTTCGCAAGTTATAATCCATCGAATACCATACATATTCATTAGAATACCAATTATGTTTCCTTAAGTCTCTATTACTTAATTTTTTCGACTATTAGAACTCGAAATATAAAAAACAAACAAGCGATACTATTTGTATTAACACTTCACTACATAGTATAAAACAAAGTCGCTATCCGCTGTCTGTCTGTCCCTATGTATGCTTAGATCTTTAAAACTACGCAATTGATTTTGATGCGGTTTTTTTTAATAGATATAGGTGTTTTTAAGGATGGTTTATATGTATAATACATGCATATTGCACCCGCGCGAAGGGGGCGGGTCGCTAGTTAAAAATAATAGTCACAAACAAATATTTTCTAAAATCATTGCACCAAAATATTTCTGACTCATGTTCTGAGAGAATAAAAGTCTACAATGTAGGCGAATTTATAACCTGTGTTAGTAGTAATAAATACTGATATTGCTTGCACGAAGGACTGGTACCGAGCGACGACCCAATTATTTTTATGACTTAACCAATATCTTTCTGTGAGGCTAGAGATATTTAAACTTGAATAGTGTCATATTGCTTAGATATGGGTTAGTTGTTACTTGACACTTTTTGTCGTAGGTATCTAGTCTTTATATAAATTACAGTTTTTTTAAGGAGGGGAAATCATCGAATGACTTCTCCCGCTTGGGTGAGGCGGAAGGGAGTGTCAAACTCTTACTGACTAAAAACCACCCCGTTCCTACTCCTGCACTTCGAGACGGTGCCCCGGTAAACCGTTAGGTTCTCCGCGACATTATGTATACTTGGCTTTAATTTTATTTATCTCATACAAATTACAGTAGAAGGTGTATAATGATCTAATTCAGTTATACTTACTCCATTAGGTAATGGAAATTTGTCTATTTGCATCGATGGTAGTGAAGCCTGTTTTATTGAACCGTTGTTTGTTCTGAAGTTTGATACTGACTCTAAGTTATTATTACTAGCTACTGCCCGCGACTTCGTACGCGCAATCCTGTTTTCTCCCGGTCCCGTAGGATTTTCAGGATTTTTATGCCTTAAGAACATTCTCCTGACAACAACAATCACAACAAAAAAAGATCAGCCAAATCGGTCTAGTCGTTCTCAAGTTACGGCGTGACAACGGGAAACGGGTTTCATTTTTATATATATAGATTATTGTCCTTTTTCTTGATAATAAGTATATGTATGTATTGAAATGCATAAGTATATTATTTTGTTCTTAAATGAAGCGTATTAAATTTTACCGGAGCAGTAATAGGCGAGCAACATCAAACATAAAGATTACTACAACTTACTAAACAAACAAAATAACTCGCGTAACATTTTATTTCAATGACACATTTTGTTTCATGAAATCGATTCATTATTATTATTTTTTTCTTAAAAAACGTTGCCCCACACTATATACATTTTCTCCTGTGTCGTGGGTGCGTTTACAATCATACAAGTTCACATACCCAATGACACCCAGACCCGAAACATCAATTTGCGGATCACACAAAGTGTTGTCTCGTGCGGGAATCGAACCCGCGACACCTTGCACGGCAGCCAGTTGCCCACCGCACCAACAGTGCAGTCAAACAAATTTAAAAATAAATTATACCACATTGTTTACCATTTCTACTTCTGGCATTAAAGACACGGATAAAATTATAGACCCACTAACGGTAGCTTTATACTATCAACATTACAATCAAAGTGTATGATAATATAAGTGCTAAACTACATCATCAACAGTTCACTACTGAGGCCTTAGTACGAGTTTCTTTTTCGTTTAAAGTAATCGAAACGAGACTGCGTACGGCGCTCTGATTGGTTGGTTCATTGGAGCCGGCCAATCACAACGCAGAACGCGTACTTGTTGAAACTCGTACTAAGGCCTCTGGCCTGGGCTTTGCATCTATTCTGTAAACAAAGAGTTTGCCAGCCATGACCATAATTTCCACGTTCCAGGCAGTTTTAATTTACAATCCAGTTCAAGACCAAAGAAATCTTCGAGAAATAATCTTGATAAATATATGCCAATATTAAATGGTAGTGCAGTATACTAGCAGTACAGTAGCGCGTAGTATACTTATTACTTTAGTGTAGTAGTGTACATAGTGCGCAGTGCACGTACCGACGCGGTCCGCTCTGTTTCAGGTGAGCGACCGCACGCGTGCGTGCACTGCGCCAAGACATTCGTGCACAAACACTGCCTCAACACACATCTATTACTGCACTCTACTAACCGACCCTACCGCTGCCTCGAATGCAAGAAAACCTTCACGCTCAAACACCACCTCCTCACTCATACAAGGGTAATTTAATCATAATTATTAACGTAGAAATTAATTAATATTTCCTAGGTGAAAGGCCACATGTATGCGCTCACTGCGGCAAGGCGTTTGCGAGGAAGCATTGCCTGAACACACACTTACTCCTGCATTCTGCGCAGAGGCCGTATAGGTGTGACGAGTGTAAGATGGCGTTTACATTGAAACATCACCTCGTTACTCATTCTAGGGTGAGTTATTTATTTCTATGTACGTAAATCTGTCGTAAACATGAACTTGCATTGATCTCTTTGATCGATTGAATTGCGCAAGAGAATGCGCAAAGATTGCGCAACAACTAATTAAAACGATTATCTAATGAAACATTCCACTAATCTTGGTACATAAATTGCAGGTCCACAGTAGAGAACGTCCGTTTGTATGCAACGAGTGCGGGCGCGGGTTTCCGTTGAAGCGCCATCTAGTGACGCACAGCAAGTACCACGCGGGGGAGCGACCCTACGTCTGCAGTGATTGTGGAGAGAGCTTCGCGCAAAAGGTAAGTCTATCTGTCGGATAACAGTTAGACCGCCAGAACATCAACAAGAAATTACAAGAAAACTTCAATAGATTTAGTAAGTGATTTAGTAATGATGATTTGAAATGTCGCATGACGTCATGGCTTAGTACACTTTTAGGTATATACTGAGCATTAGCATGATATTGTGAGCTCCCACTTCTAAAGTTTAATTTGCTTTATCTAAGTACATTTTACATCGATGAAATAAAGATTTCTGACATATTTGCCCTTAATTCATTGAAATATATGGCTTACTCACGAGCGACACATCCTGCACATTGCTCATGAGTATGAGTCCCGCCGTGACTTGAAAGTAGTATAGCTTTTCTCAGTACGCGTGAATAAGCAATGTGTTTGTGTCACACAATAGTCCAAAATATATTTTGACTGACATAGAAAATATATTTTACTAGCGACCCGCCCCGGCTTCGCACGGGTACAATATGCATGTATTATACAAATAAACTTTCCTTAAGAATCACTCTATTAAAAAAAACCGCATCAAAATCCATTGTGTAGTTTTAGAGATCTAAGTATACATAGCGCCAGACAGACGGCGGATAGTGACTTTGTTTTATACTAAGTGGTGATTTTACATACCCTATTCGTATCATCATCTCTCTCATAATATGAACAAGAATAATTTTCCCTTTTCCAGGAGCACCTAGTAATGCACAGTCGTTTCCACGGCTCTCTATCTCCGTACGTGTGTCCGGACTGCGGCGTGACGTTCGCGCGCAAGTTCCAGCTCGTCAACCACGGCAGGGTCCATGGGAGAGTGCCGCACTCTTGTCCAGTCTGTGGGAAGGAGTTCCTGCAGAAACGGACGCTCGTTGGGCACATGAAGTTAGTATACAATTTGTAATTTATTAACTTCTATTTAGTTTTAAAGTGTTTATATAAATTAAATTTAGTTTATGAACCTTTTCGTGGCTTGGTTTGGATTCAGACTCGAAAAAGTTTTGTAATTTTTTACTGTTCATTATCTGTTTTTTTTTTTTTATGGAATAAGCCGGTAAACGAGCAGATGGATCACCTGATGGTAAGCAATCGGCGTCGCCCATAGACACCTGAAACACCAGATGCATTATAAATGTGTTACTGGCCTTTTGGGGATTTGAGGATTGTGGGGAATTCAGGGATAGGAGACTTGGGGAAGGGGAGGGGGATAATTGGGCCTCCGGTAGCCTCACTCACAACGCAAGCGTTGTTTCACTTCGGTTTTCTGTAAGGCCGTGGTATCACTCCGGCCAAGCCAGCACATTCGTGTCGAAGCCTGTCTCTCCCACAGTTACCGCAAATACTTTAAAGACTAGAACGCCTTGTAAATGAACATCATTAAAAAACCGAATATTTTTTAAATTTTATAGAAAGAAGAAGAAAGAAAGAAAGAAAAACAGTTTATTTGCACCATTACAGAAAGGACAAAAAAAATACTAATAATATTATTATTTATACTATTACGCTTTGTTCCAGAATCCACACAGGAGAGGGCGCAGTAGCATGTCTAGATTGCGGCGAAGCCTTTAAATGCAAGTCGGAATTGCAACAACATTGCAAGATGACGCGACACTGTCTGCCCGCGCAACAACAACAACATCAACAACAACACCAACAACAACAGCAACAACAAGCCCAGCAACAAGCACAGCAACAAGCGCAACAACAGGCCCAGCAACAAGCACAACAACAAGCCCAGCAACAGGCACAGCAACAAGCCCAGCAACAGGCGCAACAACAGCAACAGCAGCAGCAACAACAGCAACAACAAACAACTGTGATAAAACAAGATGATTTTAAACCGCAAATTGTACAGGTAACCATTATATTGTCTTGTGAATTATCTTCAACCGACTACTGTTTAAAAAATAAAGATGTTCAGTAGTCATTGATACTTCTATTTGTTAATGTCTTTTTTTTGTTTATTGTAGGTTATTGGTGCAGATGGTCAAATAGTATCGGAAAAAGCTAGTCCGGGGTACGCATGTCCAGAATGTGGGTCCTGTTTCAACACGAAGGTATGTTTTGTGATCTTTAATACTAATTTCATACCGTATGTTATGATTAGCATTATTTGTAAATGTGATTTTTTGTATATGAAGTTACAATTTATGCCTACTTTCAGCTAATATGCTTTAAACTGTCAAACACCAAGCGGTCACCGGTGACCGCAACCTATTGTTTCTATAATTGTGTCTATAATGACGGTACTCGACGAGTTAATTATGTCAGCTTCGACATTAATAATCGTAGCATAGTTAAAAGCCCAGAATTGGCTCGCAATTGGTCGAGCCCTTCCGAAATAGTACAAACATATTTTATTTTATAATACCTGTTTTTTTGTTCAGTGTTAGCAAGCTATCGTGTGTTTGATTGTTGTAAGAATTTTTATGGTAGAAGAAATATTCAACTGAGTACTTGCAAACTATACTCCGTCTGTTTAGGTAGTTAACTATTTGTAAACAAACCATAAAAAGAGTTCTTATAGTTGACATTTCCATGATTCAAAATACTTCATAAGAAAATAAAATTGTTTCCATTTTTACGACAGTTTTCTTTATTAAATGTTATGTTTCTGTTCCTTTTTACTTATTTCTTAGTAAATATTATATATATGTATCTGCTTGAGCATAATAATTTAATAACATTTATTAAATAATATAATATTTCATTACAATAGCCACCATAAAGAGCCTAAAATCCCAGGTATCCAAAACCTTTCTTTAAGAACGAAGCATTAGATAATGTTGTCAAATTAAAGTGTACAATTAAGATGTAGCGCGACAATGAAAGTAGCGTGTATTACGTTTAGTCGGTTAATCAGGCGCCATTGACGGCTCTCTCGTCATTGCGCTCGCGTTCCTATTTTGTTGAATTTATCTTGTTTCTTTGTTTTGTTTTTGTTATCAAGTTATTCAAGTTTAGGTTATTCATCGTTTGTAATAAATGTGTTCAAATATATTGAAGAAACTTGGCCCAAAGACACATATAAGAAAGAAACGTACAAGAAAGAAATCTGTACATCAGATTCAGAATAGTTTCTTTTTAAATATGATAATGAAATAGACCCATAGCCTAGGCTCTTGTATGTGTGTGTGTGACAAATGAACGATTTTAAAGTGAATTTAGTTTAAATTAAAACACGAGAAATATTTCTTACATTACCTACCTTTTACTTGGGTCAATTCTCGTAACTCGAGTACACCTCTGCCTATGGTCTTTACCTGAATCTAGTCCGATAAAGGACATTTTCTTGCGAAATCTTACTGTTTTTACTTTCAACAAACACATAAAATTACCTATTATTCACACACACTTCACAATCGAATAATATAGGTACTTGTACTAGAAACTGATAAACAAATACACTATTTGAAAAACCTACACATATATTTAACTACTACTACACATTTATGCAACTTTATGTTTAAAACTAATTCCTAATAATTTAAACGAAAACATAAACAAAGCGATCGCACATCACATGAAAACAATATGGCCGAAAACATTGGAAACGAATTGAAGTCATTACCAATAGTCAATTGAGTGTTTATTATAAAAAAATGTAGCTTAAAAATTAAGGTAATGCAGCGTTTAATTTAAAAAAAACAAAGGTTAATTTAGTAAGTCAAATGAAATTGCATCATCGTCTTAAACCAATATTTCATACTAAAAAACATTCATTCATATAATTTGAAACGTTGTAAATGGCGCCATCTTGAAGTTTCAATAACTTCCTTTTAACTTTTATAATAATAAAGTCAACTCCTCGTTTAAAATTTCTATAAACCGACAACGCGTAAAAATGTTAAGCTTTAATTAAAACACTTGAAACATATTTGTTAAATACGCATTTATAAAAATACATTCGCATTATATCGAACGAGTTCAGAAGTTTCAACAAAAAATTCAATAGATGGCGCTGATGTACTCCATTCATCAGTACTTTACGATATACAGATTTTATCAATTTAAAACCTTTTATAATTTAATTGTTTTTAAAAATACAATAACTTGTTGCTGTTTTATTGTTTTAGAATTCTTAATAAAATACGATCGTTTTCCAAGTGATGAACGAACGGTCCTCTAATTTTTTAGTTGCAAACATTTTGTCAATCAACAGGAATCGTGTAATATAATTATGAATGGTTATTCTGTACCGTCACTATGGTCGTGAACTTCACGCATGCGCGGTGCATACTTTTGGTACATTTCTTTTGTGACGTCACTACTACCAACCAAGATTTAAGGAATAGTGGCGCATGCGTGTTGCGTGCGGGGCGTATTCATTACTTTACAAAGGCGCGTATTTATGTTAGCCGTTTTTTTACAAACTTTTATTATATTATTGAATTTTAATAAACGCGTTTGTACATTTTATGTATGTTATATATTCACGATATTTATAGGTAGGCAAAGCCTTTTCGCCTATATGGACTGCACGCCACTGTATCCAGTACAACCCTACTCTGAGTTGCCCTGCCTTAACAACATAACAAATAGAAAATAATACTATATATCCAGATGAAAATGTTTTACAGCATTTTCAAATAGGACCATTCCATACTATATTCACTCGTAATTTGTATTACTATAGTATTATACTTCTTTTAATTTTTAACATGTTTTAAACATAATCTTGTAACATTAGTTCATGATTCATAATTTCTTCTTGCAGGTTTTATAATCCCAGACCAGCCCAACATACAGATAATTTCTTCAAACGCAAACAACGTTGGGCATACACAAGTTATAGCTTCCGTAAGTACAATACGTAATATTCTTAATAACTGAAATTACCTACTTAACTGTTTATTCCCCAAGTGGTCACCGGTGACCGCTTTCCACTAACTCCATTATAGATCTTATGTCCGATACTTACAGACTACTTTAGTATGAACAAATTTAAAGGATAATATATCAACATATTATTGGAAAATGATAGATTTTTCTCTCCTATATTGTTATTCAAGCAGTTGTAGGCTATTATGGTACACAAACACTTAACATTTTATCCGTTTTCTTCTTAAATGTATTTAGTGATCAAATGAATTTATTTCAACTTACTGTGATCTGAACTAAACTTAACCCTCTTGCCTTTTGTGATAGAAGTCTATAGAATTAACCCAGTGTTTTTATAATTTGATCTAAATCTTTCAGAATCATCAAATAAATACTCCCAGACCGAAAGTTCACTTCTGTGGCGACTGCGGGAAAGGGTTCGCAGCTAAACATGGATTAATAGCGCATCAAAGGAGGTATGTAATGATGTTTTAAGCCAAGGATACACTGGGGGTCAAATGCCCCAAGCAAGACATGTATCGGTCACATGTCGAGCGAAGCCGGCCGATGTCGCCTGACATATACGGTGACAACGCGCAACTTTTGTCCACAATGACACGTTGTTGCCAGACATGTCGACCAAAGTCCCGCAATGTCACGCTACTTCGTCCTACGTCCCTAGCGACACGTGTCGAATAACATTTGTCCCCTAGGGTATCCTTGGGTTTACATTTGCAGGATATTAGTGATAAAAACATTTGTACTTTTTGTATATTACTTAGACATATCCAGTGCCTTTAGCCAAACGTTACTTTAGCGCTTGTCTACAGAGAGAGTAGAAAACTAAATGTATGGGGATGACACTGACAAGTGTCAAAATTTACGTCAATTCCATATAATTTGGTTTTCTATTCTACATGTAGACAAGCGCTAAATGGCATTTGGCTACAGCTGCAGTTTTTTGCTATATCAATCTTTACGATATGTGTAGTTTGATATCTATTTGTCAATGTTTGGTGTGAAAAATATATTTATCAACTTATTTGTTTATGTTGACGTAATGTGAAGAGTGTATTAATATTGTCCGCAGACACCCGGACGGTAGCTGTACGCTGCGGACCCACGTGTGCGACCAGTGCGGGAAGGCATTCTTCCAGAAGAACCATCTCATGCTGCATCAACGGCAACACATGGACCTGCCGCCTAGAGCTGTGAGCTATACATTTTATTATATTATTTTATGGCATACAAATACACTTGGTTACCATCAAGAGTTACCAGCCAGAGGAGCTAAATTTCCTTTTGGACATTGGTTATCTTACTTACATGGAGTATATAACGTAAGCGTTGTTTCACGCCGGTTTCCTGTGATGCCCTGTTATCAGTCCCGACGATCTGATTGATCTGGTTGTGATGAAGGATGTCTGCGCCACGTTCTCTTTGTTTTTTTTTGTTTATAAATCTTTGCCCCACCTTAGGATTTTCTCACAAGATCACATACACGTGACACTAAATACATATACCTTGTTCCGGAATATGATATGTGCATTTAACTCGTCGAGTACCGTCATTATAGACACAATTATAGAACAATAGGTTGCGGTTACCGGTGACCGCTTGGTGTTTGACAGTTTAAAGTAGCGATATATTAACTTACATCAATAACTCAGTGACCAAAAGTGAGTTGGTCCATTTCTCGCTGTTCTTGGCTGTTTCTCATCCATTACCAGCTTCAAATATAGTAATAGTAACTATATTTAGTATCTCAAATCATTTATTTCAGAGTCAAGGCCAAACTGTAACGCAACAACAAACTACACAACAACAAGTGCAACAGGCAACGCAACAACAAGTACAGCAACAGGTGCAACAACAGGTGCAGCAACAGGTGCAACAACAGGTGCAACAACATCAAGTGCAACACCAGACGCACCAAGCACTGGAACTGGAGCAGGAACACCAGCAGGCCACGCATATACAAGTTGTAAGTACTTTCACATTTATTTCAGGGACAATCTCAATACCAACTTAGGTATGTAGTTTTGAAAATTGTCAATTTTATAGATTTTGATGTTTTTTCCTATTTTCATTTTACACTCTCGTACGGGCGCCGCTCGCGCCGCCATCTTGGAAAAAAGGCGGCCAAAAACAGTTTTTTGCCATCTGCTCATTTGCCAACCCCTATTCTAAAAATTCTATTCTAATTATGTACCAACTCGAATTCCATGTATATTATATATTTTTTCTTGAGGTTCTGTAGTTTTGGGTTAATATGGACCAAAAGGTGTATGCAAAAAGAATATACATGAAAAATCATGGCCTTTATCCCATCAAGTTTAGCTGAAACTAAAGTATTATGGTAGTATCCTAAATTTTATTTTGATGTCTACAGATTAATTTAAAACATTAGACACGTATTTTTTCTTTTCTCATAAAATTCAATACTTTCAACGATATATTCATTTGAAATATCGTGTAACGTCACAGCGTGCTACATTTTACAGCACGTTGTGACGTAACGACCTCCCACTCCTAAACTTATCGGCATTTTATCTAAGTATTGTAGCTTTATACAAGGAAAAAATACGTGTATAATATTTTTTAATTATATAACTGATGGTCCAATTAGATTATTAATTTTCATACCCTGGCAACTACCTAAGTGAATTAACACTAGACTATTTTAGTTGGTAAGAAATATCATAAAATTCACCAAATCAGTAGATAATAATACACTGGTCAAAAAAATTAAATCGATAATTGAATCTTATTTGTTTAAAATAATAATTAATATTAATTCGCTTAGATGAACGTCGTTAACGAAGCGAAGGTCAAGCAAGAAGTATCTTGTCTCGGTACGCAATGATTTATAAGAATGTTTTAAAATAATACATGTTGTACAGGATGAAATCGTGGTCATATATTAAGGAATTATTGTATGTACAATTATTGCTTTTAGGCTAATCATGATAGGGCTAAAATAGTTCACCTGTGCCTTATACTTTTAAGAAATACACGAATACAAAATGTAGATATGGGACAGTCTAATTATTTATTGCGCTATCGCTATCTGGGTTCGCCTAATAGTAAAAGTTGTTCATTATTGAAATAAGTTCACCTTAAAAATTCAATTTCACCCTGTATATTATACCTTTGTAAATGACGTATGGGTAGATTTGATACTTTTGTTCTTTTACATAAGATTGTTTATCGAACAATTTGGTTTTAACTATCATTAAATCTAAAATGAATCCTCTTACGTCTTTTAAAGTTATTGCAATAGTGATATAATAACGTTAATCTTGTAGGTAATATACGTAGGTAGTTCATTATTTAAGTAGATCATGTATGTAGAAAATAAATTGTAAGTACGTGACTTCAACATCAGAAATTGGTGAAAAGTTCTTCAAGTTTTGAAACCGTCTTATGTAATGTACCTAATTGCGCTAACGTTATTTAAAAAAGTGTATTTGTAATTGTAGGTAAGATAATAGAATATTTGTTAAGTAGAATCTCTACATATATTATGTTGAAGTGAATGCAAAATGCAATAGGTATGATAATTATGCTGTGAGTACTTAACGATCAAAATATAATATTCCGTAGCTTTTTTCTAACCGAATTCCATGTTGTCATAGGTGACGAATAGATCCGGTCAGGTAATCGGCAACCAGATCGTTGTGGGAGGTCTTAGTGGGGGGCGCCGTCTCGTTGCTCCTCTACACATCGTGAGCCGTGACGTCAAGCCCAACCTGTCACATCTGCACAAACACCACGCACGGCAACATACCACCAGGTAATATGCACGACATTATTTCCTAGAACAAAGAAGAACTAATTAATATTTTAATGGTAAAAGTCTCTTTATCTACAAACAATTCTGATTCTTGTAAATAAACAAATAAAAAGTCACTAACCCCCTAAGGATGCTCGCTGACTAAAATGTGTGATAGGTTCAACTTTTACTGCCCATTTAATAAAGATCAGATAAGTAGTAGCACTTTCTAATAAACTTGATTCTTAAGCTGATTTTAGTCTTACACTGTCAGCGCTGATGGGTAAGATATGTGAACTTCGTGGTCAGCACTGACCACTGCATTGCACTGTCAGCATCAGACTAGAACCAGCCTTAAATTATGATTTCCGACCTTATGACTCCAATAGTGAACAGTTTCAGGTTGTTGATGTCATGAAATAAAATATTTATTTTACCTTTCCTTCCACAGCGGTGATGCAAAAGAAGTCGGTGGTCTAGTCCTGTCAGCAGGTCGGACTGGCCTTATAAAGTACGAGATCTCCCTCCCTCCCCCAACGTCTGTAGTGCAAGTGCAACAGCTAGACTGAGTAAAGCGAGACCCAGACGAACCTATGGTCGTTTGGATGAAAAAGTGACAGTGACATGTGAAAGTGAGTGACAGTGACAGTTATACAGTGACATTAGTGCAGTGGTGCGATTCTAGTATGCTTGTACGAGACTACGAGATTTGATTAGAAGAGCAATAATTAAATTGGGGTAATATTTGTGATAGCAGTATTTTTCTGTGTTGCAATGTTTGAAGCTTCTGTTGTTATTAAAAGGATTGTGGGATGCATGTAGTTGTGAAGGTGCATACAGATAGAAAGCAGGACTTTCTAGCTGATATACCGCGACTCCGACACTGGGCTGAAGTTGGAACTGAGTGACTTGTAGTTAATAAGAGACTGACACTACTCCAAATTCACCCAAGATGGCGTGAGTTTGTGTGGGTCATTCAGTGGTTCCAACCTTACAAAAAAAGACTTCAAAATAGCTTAAGCAACAAAACAATGTGGTCATGTATGATGTTGTGAATCTTATGTTTTTGGAAATAAAGTTGAAATTCTATCAAAGATGTCTTATAATCTAGTTGCAAGTCGCAATAATGTTTCCCAAAGTTTCATGCATTCCAATTAAACTTTACATAGAGGGTGATTCTATTGTAAAGGTTGCAATTACATAATTGGCTAGCATTTAAGCGTACACTGCCATTTAAGCAATAAAAAGAATTGTTGTTGAGACAATGGAATCACAATCTAATGAACTGGGCATTAGAGTTGAGTTTGTAGACATTAATTATTTCTCTGTTGCACTATGCCACAAGAGGGGTGTCAATATAAAGTGCTGCTTTATTAGTAGACCTTTCACATAAAGGCTGTTCTGAAAGTGAAAATCTTATTCTTGCCCATTTCTTTTGCATGATAACACAACTTAATTGATGTTGTTGTTGATTTATTTCATAATATCATATCAATGAAATCATCAGCTGGCAGTATATTAAAGTACTATTCTAACTTCAGTTTGTATTTCATGAAACATTGTTTATTGTCCAAATAAATTTAATATTTAATAAAAGAGTCCACTAATAAGGTTTTACCTTATAACTAACATAACCCATTCAATGTCTATTTATCTCAACTTAAAAGTATATGAAAATCCCTGTCACTGCCATGGATCTTGATTTACAATTTATTTACAAAACTTATTGTTAGTCTTGTAAATAATTTCTTATTGTGTTCTAAGTACAATGCTTTGCAAAAATAACTATATTTATGAGAATAAAAATGCTGAATTATGTCAGTACAATAAAATGGCAGTCTGATTGTGTTCAATTTTATATACCATTGTTAATTATGTTTTGGGACACTTGTTAATGTGTTTGTTAGTAAAATTAAACTGTTTTGTAATCTGGGGTCATAACAGGACCCCTACCATTACATAAACCCCTCTTAAACAAAATATAATATTAGTAGATAGCACTTTTATTATTGTACACAATCAAGCATACCTAATCCTTTCGCCCTAGGGTAGCAAAAATAATGTGTTACGAAACGAAAACGAAAACTTTGTTAAAGTCCAACATAGTTCTTTTGTAACATATTAACAATTAGCCCAAAAAACATTATTAGTTATTTATCCACTGGTTTCTAGTTCCTCTTTTCAGAAACCAGACATTTTAGTAAATGAAGGATAGGGTAAATTTTATTATAGTACCAGAAATCTCGTACGAGCATACTAATGTATAAAAATTGGTACATTTTGTATAAAGGTATGACTGAAATATAGCATAGTGTAAATACAGTGTACGTGCAATGCAGTTGGGTTAGGAAAAAAGAATCATCTCAGTTACAAAGACATTTGGTGCCGATAGGATATGTTTCTGCTCTGTCATGTGTGTGTTATAGTATATTTTTATTATTTCTGTAATTACAATTGTTTGGAGTTCTTATAGTTGCTTTGGAACATAAATTATGTCATGTTTGTTAATCATGTTATTATTATAGGTGCAAAAATATACTGCCGAATAGGAGGCATAATTATGTGTTCTTTCAAATAATTAAATTCAACGCATGTTTTTGCACCCGCTGATTACTTTCTCTGCATCACCCAAGGGTCAGACTGGTAGAAAATGCCTGCGGCATTAAGTCCACCCATGTGCTTGTTTGTGTGCATAAAGCTTTTTAAATAAATAAATAATTCCAAACTCTATGATAATATAAAAAATAACTCGAAAATTATAAAGCCTTGTAATATAATTATTAACTGGAATGGTATTTTTTTATGGTAGTTGTACCTAAGACAAGTGATGCCATCTAAAAGATAAATATTAACATAATTGTTGTAAATTAAGTACAAAATTATTTGTTTGTCAAAGTCAAAATCATTTATTTCAATTAGACCAGGAAGACACTTAACGTCAAAGCAAAATATTGAAATATTAAAGAAAAAATGTCGTCAGTCCTCTAGTGAAGCTATTTGCTCTACCAAAGTGTAGATTCCTATGGAAAAGAACGAGCAAGAAACTCCATAGGATACTCTTTTTCAATCAGTTTCACACTACAATTTTTGGTTACATTATTTCGTTGAGTTCAATTATGTGAGAACAATGTAACACCAATATTTAGTTAGGGGACGGAAAAAGCAAATAACCATGAGGAAAACAAATATGTTTCAAAGTAACTCTGATTACTCTATGTAGTTACAATTACAGAAATCGGGGCCTTTTTATTAAAGATCGATAAACTAGTATTGTAATAATAGTTTGTATTTTAAACTCTATAAACACAGGTGACAAAGCTCAAATATCCTTAGCCAGCATTATAGAACTAAAAACCTAAGCCTAAATTAAAAAAGAATGTAATTATGTATAATGCCAATAGATTGGAAAGCTTTATTTAATGTTTAGACGTCTGCCTTACAATAGAGCCTTAATTTTATCGTTCATTGTAATAGATATAGAAACGTCAACTACTTAATTTCGATGGCAATAAAAAAGAAACTGATTCATTTGTGTATAATATAGTAATTTTAAGTAAATGTTCTAAAATTTAGGACATTGGCGTGTAAAGAGATGAGGTATAGGAACCTTTTTTTTGTATAATACATAGTTATAAGGGCAACTTACTATAGTTAGTAATCTCTTGTACATATCATGTTTTTACAACACTGAATGGCGTTTTGTAATAAAATGTACAATCTCTATGTAGGTATGCATTTAAGTTTTTGTTCAAATGTTGTTTCGTATTTATCGGACATATTACTGGCCGCTCAAGATGTAGTTTCTAGAATATTTTCTTTTTTTCTTACATTCGAATCATCGAATCTGTTGTTTGAAAGTTACGCACATTTAGCATAGGGGTTAACGAAATGTTAGTAATAACTTGTTTACTAGTAATTTTGTTATTAGTCATTTAGTTGAATACTCTCTAAATTATATCTTCAACAGCCACTAGCATTGCCGATGTATACGAACAACCTTTTAATTATTATTTAGGCGTCATGTCAATAGGCTTCTTTTAAGTACATATAAATAATCATTTTTTTCCTTTTTTTTTGAAGTTATGGCAGTAAGGAAGGCGTGTTAAGTGCAATCAAAATTCAACGTATAGATCTGAGGTTTTATTGGAAATGTCGAAAACTCTTTTGGTGTGACTTGGCTGAATAAGTTGTTACCTTGTCATAATAATTACGTTCGTGTAATAGACTATTTAAAATGGTTTTTAATTTATTTGTTCAAGTTACATCATTATTGTTGATAAATAAATATGGATGTAGCGGTGTTGTTTAAGGTTTCAACTGTATTTGATATGTCACTGAATATTGGGAAGTAGTCATATAGAAAAGGAAAGTACCTAAATACTATAAGGTAATGGATTATACTTAATATTGCGTTTAGTACATTTTTATAAATTATTTTTTAACTTGTGTCCATGAAAGTACTTAATTTATCCCTCTGGCATAGATAGTTGTGTGGTGCGAAGTCTTCCATAACAGTGGAACCATAAACAACATTGCGCCCCGAACAGAGTAGCACTCGTCTATTATTTTTGGTATCTAATCTAGTCTGTGATAAGGGAATGTTCATTGCTTCTGTCCGTAACATGTCTTATGGGAAAATAGATTTATAAATATATTTTATAATTAAACAAAATATATAGAATTTATATCTACTACAGTTAAAATTATTTACTTATTAAAATATCACATCTCAATAAAAACTTGATATAAAAATTAACATTATTACTTCAGTACAAGGGTGCTTTTCGTATTATAATTTTAAGTAATTTCCTAATTATATGCTTGTTCATATTATCAGCTGGTATTGTTTATATTGAAAAGCATTACATGTGATTGATGTGTGCAAATATGCGAATTATTTTTATTTCTTTAAAGTTCATAATTGTGTTTCTACTTATATCTTGGAACTTGTATTTTGGTCTAAATCCCTAGAGTTTTTAATTAAAAATATCGGCCTTCTAAAGAAGCAATATTAAGTATAAATAATTTAATATAACTGGGTGGCAATTTTAACTGTAACACCAAAATTTGCCTATACAAGTAGTAAATATAAAAGTAGATATAATGTTTTCATTTTGTATAATATACACCACAGAATATTAGTGGTAATATTATTTTCTTCGAGTCTACGAGCTTAAATAGAACATGAAATACGTGATGCAGTCAGAGTCAGCCAAATAAATAAGCTGGATAAAAAAGAATTAACTAAACAGCCAAGGGTAATGTCTACAAATACACTGCTGTTTTTAATGAAATAATTTCTATAAAGTATTTGTAGTATTTGTTTCATTACGTGAAAATACTTTTTTAATGCTGATATTAAACTACAATATTTCATAGTGTCAAAAATAATAAAAGCATCCAATGTGTTTATCAGTCACAATCTTAAATTAACTAAAAATCGCGGCTTACTCACTTGAAAATACTGAGAAAACCGCGATTGCGCACGCTACTCATGAGGAAGAGCCCCTCTGTGGCTCGAAACTAGTAGAGCTTTTCTCAGTATATTTACGTGAGTAACCCGCGATTTTTAGTTAATTTAATATGTGTCATGATAGTTATGATAGAAACACAGTCTCAATCTTCCAATTTTAACATGACTTCCATTTAAAAATAATACAATTAAAGAGTAATTTCTTCAAAAATAACGTTTTTGTAAACAAATTCCGACATATTACGGACAGAATCGTGTTGCGAGGTCTGCTTATTTTGTCTGCAGTATTATGTATAAAAAAGATCACTACAATAAAATTCTGGTCACCCAGAGATACTACTTCCATATTTTATTACGTTTCTTTTTAATATATTAAATAAATCTTGACAAGTTGTTTGCCATTAACTTTCATGTAAATATTATAGTGGATATCTATAATTTTTATATTAAATGAGAATATACATACCGTAACATTTGTTTTATTTTTATTAAGCTAGTAGTTAAATTGGTATAACACTAATCAAAGTGAGTCACAAAAATCAGAAAATACCGCTAAACGAGCAGACGTATCACCTGATGGCAAGCAATCGGCGGATTTGATTTAAGTATTGTTGGTGATTCAGGGATAGGGGACGTTGGGGAAGGAGAGGGAGCCTTAGGGAATAATTGGGCTTCCGGTAACGCCACTCACACGACGAAACAAAACGCAAACGTTGTTTCACGTCGGTTTTTTGTAAGGCCGTGGTATCTACATTCGAGCCGGCCCATTGGCTCCGAAGCATGTGGCTCTCCCACATTAAGCAAGTTACCTACATACCTTTCTTATTAATTCATAGACAGCTACTTCATTCTTAGTCCTTTCCCATCTAAGCTACAACTGGTACCTTTCAGACAACGTTAATCCTTAACACTAAAAATATAAAGCCTATGTCCCACATAGTAAGAAAATTACTTGACCTTTAGCTTTAAGACTGTTCTATTTTTATATATTTATCTGTTTTATTTTTTATTATGTTTTTTTTTTGTTACCCTATTCTAATTACCTACCTGTCAAGCGAGTGTGGTCAGTCATGCAGTGGCGTATGTGTGCATTTATTCAAGTGCAATGGAGAATATTCAAATTACATTATTGTGTATACTTGAGTGGGTGTATGTTGCGTTCTGTCGTGTTGTTGGTGGCTTGGATTGTATCTGTACTCCGTTGCAATCCTTGTCAGTCGCGGTTGGTTAGACTATGCTTAACACAAAGTTAAGTCTATACTATCAAAATGTGCGTGGTCTGAGGACAAAAGTATTGTACACATTTAATAATGTTTTGCGTTGTAATTATGACATTTTGCTTTTTACTGAGACATGGTTGCAGAGTGATATCCTGGACGCGGAGGTGTGTGATGACAGGTACCAGGTGTTTCGATGCGATCGCGATCTGAGCTTGACTAGCAAGAGGACTGGGGGTGGGGTTATGTTGTGTATAAACAATAGAATTAAAGCCACAAAAATGAATGACTTCCTTTGTACCGGTACTGAGGTACTACACGTTCAACTGTCTGCGCAAAGTATTTCTGCGGTAAGAGATTTGCACATTATATTAATATA